TCACATAAAATTTTACATTTTTAAAAATTAAAAAGGTAAAGTTAAATACATGTAAGTAAAGTTCACCACTTAAGGTGCGTAGTTTAGTAGCACTTAATACATTCACGATGTTGTATATTTTTTCTATTAGCATGCATTCTTACCAACTATATTTTATGTGCAAAGTGCTGTGTAGAGTTCTGTGTAGCATGAATTTTTGTCCGCAGTATTGTGGTATACCTGTTTTCATTTTTAAGTTCAGAACTATGCTTTTGTTTTCATTTTTAAAGAAGGCATTATTTACATAAATTAAAATCCATTCATATGAGGCGCTCCATTTGATGAATTTCAGAAACTGGACACTATCGGGCAACCTCCACGATAATCAAAACACAGAACAGTACCTCTCACCTTCCTGCCCATCCTTAGGCTGCCTGCACTCCTTCTGCAAAAGCTCTTCCTCCCTCTTCTATCCCCAGGCTACCACTGATCTACATTCTGCCGCTATGGTTTTGCCTTTTTCAGACCATCCCATAAATGTTTGGCTTCTCTCACTAATATAATGCATATCAGAATCACCCATGTTTTTGCATTTTCCTGACAAGAGTTCATTGCTTTTTATTGCTGTGCAGTATCCCACGGTGCTGATGTACAACAGCCCACATCCATTCACCAGTTGTTGGATATCTGGGTTGCTTCCAGTTTCTGGGTTATTCCAAATAATGTTGATGTAAACATGCATGTACACATCATTGTGTGGGCATATGTTTTCATTTCTCTTAGCCAGACACCTAGGAGTGGCACTGCAGGATTCATACGATGTGTATGTTTAACTCTATAAGAAATTGCCCAATGTTTTCGGAAGTGGTTATCCCACTTTGCATTGCCACCAACAGCATATAAGCCTTCCAGTGCCCCACATCTTTGTCAACACTTAATATTGTCAGTCTTTTTAATTTTCACCATTGATTGGTACCAAGCACTGTACCTTTAAGATTCCGATCACATGTGCATCTAATCTGTTGCTTGCAAGTGCTGTGTCATGGCCATCCATAGGGCTCTCCACCTTCTCCTGACATCTACCCCCCTCCCCACCCACCATGAGTGGGTGCTCAGTTTTCCTCTAATTCCCAGCACAACAAAGAGATGAGTGACAGACACTTCATCCTTGGCTCTTTGTGATCTGCATGATCATTGCCCTAGGATAGAACTTGGAGTGGCACTTCTGGGTCCTAGGGTGTACATAGACCTAATTCAGCCAAGGATTGCCAAATTACCTTCCAAGATAACTGGACAGTGTCTGTTCATACCAGCTGTGCGCTCAAGTATTGTTTCTGCATCCCTGCCAATAGGAGTTACTTCACTTTAAAGATTTCTAATCCATCTAATAAACATAAAGGGATTGTTACTTGCTTTTGTATTTCTTAGATGACTAATGAGTACGTACACCTTTCATCTTAACTTCCTGTTTGTTTCCTCTGCAAATCCATTCACAGCCTTGAGTGTCCTTCTTGTTTATGTGCAGGATTTCCTTGTACATTTTATTTTATTTAAAGATTTTATTTATTTATTTGAGAGACAGAATGAGAGAGATAGAGAGAGCATGAGAGGAGGGAGGGTCAGAGGGAGCATCAGACTCCCCACTGAGCAGGGAGCCTGATGCAGGACTGGATCCTGCAACTCCAGGATTATGACCTGAGCTGAAGACAGTCGCTTAACCAACTGAGCCACCCAGGCACCATCCTTGCACATTTTAGATACCAATGCCAGGTCAGTATTACACTTTGCAAGTATCTCCACCCATTGATTTACTTTGTCCTTGTTGTCTTTTGTTGAACAGAAAATCCTTCATCAAATTAAACAATTTTTGCCTTATGATTAGTCCATCTGAACTTTTAAAGTCTTTCCTCACCCCTGAAGCACAAAAATGTTCTCTTCCATTATCTTCCATTAGCTTTTGGGTCTTTATGCAATTTGGTGTTAAGTACCAGTGTTATACCCATTTGAGTGATAGGAAAACTGAGGCATGGAGAAAGTAAGTCACGGGGTTAAGTAAGTGGCAGAGCTGGAGTTCACACCCAGGCAGCCTGGCCTCAGAAACTCTGTTCCAGCTGCTACTTCATGCTGCTTTCCCACGGAATGAGAAGTTGATGTGGGCAGGCTTTAAATGCCAATCATCCTCCTAACAACCCTGAGCAGTAGGTCCTGTTAGTACCAGAGAAGGAAACAGACTCCCCAAAAGCTAGTTTCTTCCATCCAAAACCAGATCCTTCAGACTCCACACTCTGTGCTTTTATTTATTTATTTATTTATTTTTAATTTATTTTTAAGTAATCTGTACATCCAGTGTGGGGCTTGAACTCACAACCCCAAGATAAGAATCTCATGCTCAACGAACTGAGCCAGCCAGGAGTCCCCAGCCTGTGTGTGTGCTTTTAAACACTAAACTACAGTTTCCCCTATAGGAACTGAGGGCCGTGGACACCGAAGGATGATGGCTTCCTCCTTCAGAGAGATTACTTCTGTTCTTTGCACAAGTGGATCCCTCTCACTTTTTTAGGTCTTCAGCCAAGTGCCCCCTCCTCCGAGAAGCCCTCACTGACTACCTGTGAGAAACAGCCTACCCTCTAATTGTCTAACATGAAACCCCTTTAGATCCTTCATGGATAACATTTATTATCACATAGAAATCATCACAATTCGCAGTTATTTAGTTTAGTTGTTAATTTTCTGTAAATCCCCTGAGGGCAGAGTTTGTTTGTTTGCTTATTTATTTATTTATTTACTTATTTTTAAGATTTTATTTATTTATTTGACAGAGACAGGCACAGCAAGAGAGGGAACACAAGCAGGGGGAATGGGAGAGGGAGAAGCAGGCTTTCCGGGCGCAGGCAGCCCTATATGGGGCTTCATCCCAGGACCCCAGGATCATGACCTGAGCTGATGGCAGCCGATTAAGGACTGAGCCACCGAGGCGCCTCGAGGGCAGAGTGTATTGTCACTTGACTGATAAATAGTTCAAAACAAAAACTCCCAGTATTTCTCTGCATCTCTTCCTAACAAAATTTCCCCAGTTTCAGTAAACGGCAGCTCCGTTTAGTATGTGGTTGCTCAGGCTGAAGCATTGAGGTTTCCTTGGCTGTTTTCTCTCACATTCCTCATCTGATGTCAGCACTGTCCAACAATCTCTTCAAGCAGATCCAGAATCTGCCCCTCTTAACTCCCCTGAGAACATCACCTGGTCCAAGAAACTTCACCTCCTGCCTGAGCTCCTGAAGCGCAGTCACCTCCACACCAACCTCTTCACCATCAGATCACCCAACCATCAGATGTGCCAGGCTGGCTCCTACCTCAGGGCCTTTGCACGTGTATTCTCTGCATGGGGTGCTGCTCCCCAGATGTGCACTTGGCTCTCTCCCTTTATCTTTCCAGTGTTTTTGTTTGTTTTATTTTTTTGTTTTTTAATGTCACCACCTAAGGTCTCTTCCCCAGACCAACCTATTTAAAATAGCAATTCTGGGACATCTGGCTGGCTCAGTCGGTAGAGCATGTGACTTGATCTCAGGGTCATGATTGCAAGCATCATGCCGGGCATGGAATTTACATAGAAAATAAAATAACTCCATTCACTCTCCCTACCCAACATTCCTTATCCTTTATCTCTGCTTTTTTGCCATGGTTCACACTGCCACTTCAGTCTATCTCCTTGTTTTTTGTTTTACTTGTGTCTCCTTTCAAAGAACACGAGCTCTATGAGGCAGAAGTTTTATCTAATTAACTGTTTAGCAGCTGTGCCTGCAACAGTGCCTAGCTTGTGATAAGTGCTGGTATTTGGTAAATAAAGTATTACCAACACCCAGGAGGGTGCCTACAGATGGTCACCACAGAACAAATGCTGAAAAAAGTAACTTTTTTGTTGTTGTTGTTTTTAAGTAAGCTCTGTGCCCAGCATGGGGTTTGAACTCAGGACCCTGAGATCAAGAGTCATATGCCCCACCAGCTGCGCCACCTAGGCACCCCAAAGGTAACACTTTTTAGACACTGAAAATTTGAGGGGTTGTTGTTGACACCCTAAGGTGATATTCTATAGAGAACCAGGCAAGTAAGAATAAGGGTGGAAATGCTTGACATTAATCATAACAGTGCTGTGAGGAGAAATGATGTGCCCCCTTTACAGATGAAAAAATATAGAGGGGCACTGAGTTCTGTTTTGTTCAAAGCAGGGACTTGGTGACTTGAGCATTTAATCACTGCATTTGGGGTCACTGAACAAAGGTGCTTGGTGGGGGAGAGAAAAGGACAGGGTACTTGGCAGGTAATAGGGTCTAGACAAGGAGACCCCCTGGGTACTGAACCCTAAAACACCAATCTTGTGTACTATTGATTTTTTTGTGTGCATAGGGATTCAGGGACAGGGAATACTGGCAAAATGTGGGATGGGACACTTGGGAGACCCCAAACTATGTGAGAATGAACTTCTATGAGGATTTAGTATTAGCTGTGATGTGATTAATCATTCAGATGTACCTAGAATATTGTTGGGGCAGATTCTGGACACAAGAGAATATTTTCAGTATGAACTATCATGGAAGTTTAGAACCTTCTTGAGCACCAAACAGAGAAGTGTCTAGAATGTTGGCAATAAATGAATGTTTGAAGGGGTGTAGAATGTTGTCAAGGATATTCCATTCACAGGACATGGAATATGGTTGAAATGGGCCAATGGATGCATTAAGGGTGTCCCACAGACAGAACATTCAGATGGCCATTTGGGGTTATGTTGACAGCAGGAGTCGTGGAACATTGTCCAGGTTGGAATGTTGAGGATACCGAGGCGTTTCAGGATGCAGTACCTGGGACACCATGATACTGGGAGTGACTGGATGCTTCTGAAACACGAAACATCCACTGGGATCAGACACATTGAGAACATGGATCACTGGTTAAGTGGAACTTTGGGGCCGAGAAGAGCTGGGCTAACGCGGCAAAGGAGTGAGGAAGGCACGCAGGGAGGAAGGAAACAGGTGAGCCAACCTGGCTTTTATTGTGGGCCCTTTGTCCATTTCTGCTCCTGAGTTCTGTGTTTTCGAATTGTGTCTCGGATCCATAGAACATACTGAGAGACTCGAGTGTAGACACCAGGCCGGTTGGGCTGCCCGCATGGGAAGTCTCCCCAGGAGATGATGCCATGGAGTGTTCCGTTACAGATCAGGGGGCCCCCGGAGTCGCCCTGAGTGGGGGAAGAGAGAGAGGTGGGGTCCTTGGTGGAGTGAGAGAGAAACAGGGAAGACAAGATGACAAACACGGAGGAACGGAGTGACACCGAAAGAGACACAAAGAAAAATGGAGCTGGATGTGCATGGAGACCAAGATTAAGAGGCTTCTCTCTCCCTGTTTTTCTTTGCTCCTCTGTCTGTTAGAGTGGTGACACATCACTTTAATACCCACTCCTGGCTCTCTGGCACTCCTACCCCACCCCACCCCCCCCCTGCTGTGGCTTTATGGTTCCCTGGCGCCATCTTACTACTGAGTAAATTCATCCAGGTCTGTATGCAACACACGTACTTCCACTTGCCCCCCCTGGACCCAAGACAGACATCACTGATTAGTCAAGGCACACATCATTAATTCACTCATCATTTTTTCTACTGACCCAAAACTCAATCTCAGGAGCCTCCTCTGTTGGACATAGGTTTTGTTTCTTGTGTTTGTGGAGGTTTTCAGCCATATAGTATCATTTCCCCTTATTTTGGTAACTGCCTCCTGATTTTCTGTTTTGGGGAAAGGCCCCTCCCTTTACTTCAATCCTTGTTTGTCCCTGCCCCTTCCTGACCCACATAGTCAGTCCCATGACAGACTTGGTCCATCAGAGAATCGCACAGTCCTGGTTAGAGTGATGGTTCAGGACACATGACCTGAGTCAGACTAGTGAGACTCATACTCAAAATGCTCATGTAAACCATTGGAAAATTCTTTCTAGTCAAGTAGCGTAGGAGGGTGGGATGTAAACCCAAAGCTGCTGGGGCCATCTTGCTATTGTATGGGAAAAGCTTAATTGAGAACGAAGACGAAAACAAGAGAGAAGAGCAGAGTTGAAAAGAGACAGAGTCCTAAACACATTTGTGCACCTGGATCCATCTGTACCTGAAACAAGACACACCCGGAGTTTTCCGTTACAAAAGCCAGCGTGTCTTGCTTAAGCTAGTTGGAGTTGGGTTTCTGTCACTTGTAAGAATGCCAACCTTTATGAATCTCAACACAGGGATCTGGACAGCCACTGTCCGTCAAAAGCTGAGGCTTACAGTGAATTATATTCTCCCGCCACAGGTACTCTCTTTTTATCTTGACCCTCAGTACTAGGGGAAATGCCATTTTAAAAGATTGCTGCCTGGGCATCTGGGTGGCTCAGTCATTAAGTGTCTGCCTTTGGCTCAGGTCATGATCCCAGGGTCCTAGGATTGAGCCCCATACGGGGATCTCTGCTCAGTGGGAAGCCTGCTTCTCCCTCTCCCACTTCCCCTGCTTGTGTTCCCTCTCTTGCTGTCTCTCTGTCAAATAAATAAATAGAATCTTTAAAAAATTAAAATAATAAAAAGATTGCTTCCCCTAAGGCTAGAAGCAAGTCCTTTCCCCTCAGCATCTGTCCCCACCTCCATCCTCCTGGCCCACGGCAATCCATTACCCCCTTGTTCTCAGGCAATCCATTACCCCCTTGTTCTCACCTCGCAGGAGTCCTTGCCGCCCTCCTTTGAGCCCGCACACAGCATGTTGGGTGTGATCTTCCCCGGGTAGACTTGACGACACTCCTCATCTGAGCGTAGCTGGATGTTGGCACATTGTAAGGTTTGGGGGTAAGTCACTGGGGAGGAGAGAGAGGAGGGTCTAAGGATGTCTGTCTATGAGGTGGGAGTTAAACGGGAGAGTCTGTAGAAAACGGATGCAAAGGGGATGCTGTTGAAGAGGTAGAGAGATGGAGCATGTGTCTGGGAAAAGTGATGGAGGAGGCAAGTGTGGAGAGAAACAGGAGGGAAGTGGAAGGGAAGATGGAAAGAATGCATGCAGACTGGGAAGGAAAAGCCATAGAAAGTTGGGAGCCGAGGAGAGGGACGGTGGGAGATGGTGAGACAGAGGGCTGGGGATGGGAAGAATAGGGGAGAAAGATGACAAGTCAGGGAGGAAGAGGGAATGAGACAGGAGGAAGCCTGGGCACAAATAAGGAGATGCAAAGGGCCCTTGTTGCTATAAGGATTAACTTTCTATTCATGCATGTGTCCTTTTTACACAAAGGATAAACCTACATTTCCTTACATTTAACAAATCCATACCTGCCGATATATCAAATTTACAAGTCATATATTTATTTAAATATATTTATGTATAATTTATATAATACAAAATTTATATACAAACATATTTAAATAAATACACAAATAATAGAACTAATGATTTAGAAAATCTGTATAATCTGTATATACAAATGCATAGTGATATATATTTATATATACATGTAATATATAGCATATATTGCCATATTTTTACTAATTTATATATTTATATAAAGGATATATAGGTTTATATGATAGTTGATCTATGACATTATATATAATCTATGACTTAACAACTCTATGTACATTTATATAAGGGATATATAATGTAACTTTATACATATTTACAATTTATATATATTTATAAAGGATATAGAACTATATAATCTATACATAAAACTTTATAAATAGACATTTGTTTAAAGGATATATGTAACATATATAACTATATTTATAAATTTATATGAAGGAGATAGATAACACATATATGTGATATATAACATATAACTGTATATCTGTTGTTATTTATATTTATAAAGGAATCCTCCTCCAGCCTTCCCTCCCATTTCTGTCCCACTGACACCTCAGGCCACCTGTGAGGCTGCCTACCCTGGGGGCTGGTGGTGGTGCCCCAGCCAGACACCCGACAGCAGGTACCAGCGGGGAGACAGTCGTTGTGGGAGAGAGGCAGGACACGGATGTGGCTCGTGAGCTGGACCGGGGACTGCAGCTCCAGAAGCATGATGTCGTGGTCATGGTTCAGGTGGGTGGGGCTGATCTGGTATTGAGGGTGGGGGATAGAGCGGACTACCTCCCTCACCTGCTCTCCGGCCTCCACACGCCCCAGGGCATGCTTGCCCAGGTAAACTCTGTACCCTCTGTGGGTGCAGGAAGGGGTGATTAGAGAGGATAAGCCCATCTCCACCACCTTTCTCCTCTCCAGACATCTTCCACACCTCAACTCCAATCCCATTCCCAGCCCCAGCATTAACTCTGACCTCATCCTCTATCCAGATCCACTCCCCCACCACCCCAGACCCATTCTCGCCCCAACCCTCATGCTGCCTTGACCCCCACATACTCCTTCAGACAGTGTGCTGCAGTGAGAACCCATTTGGGGTGGACCAGGACTCCCCCACAGAACAGGCGCCCCTGCACTAGCAGGGCTGCCTGCCAGGGCTGAGAGTGGGGACGGCAGGTATAGCCACCCGGGAGAAACCCGCTGGTCCCATTGGTGCCGTTGAGAATCTTGGGATATTCCTGTGAGATGCCTGGTAAAGAAGAGAAAATGTTAGGGAATTGGGATCCAGAGGGGAAAGGAAGCGCTGGGCTTGGGGAGAGGGTCAGAATTTTGCTCTGGATGACCAGGAATTGATGATTCATTTGTTAGCCTCTGGAAGGTGCCATCTTCCATGTAATGGAGATGAGTCAGGGCAGAGAGGTGATGATTTCCTTTTCCAGGTAGGTGCTAACTCCATTGGGGGTTCAGAGTTCACTGAACAAGGAAGCTTCTGATGGGTAAGTAGAAGCCAGACTTTCTCCTCACCTGCATTTCTTCATCCCACCATGGGTATGGATTTCAGGAGATAAGAATGAGGCTGACCTACACATCTACCTAGGCAATAAGTATGTATCCATCCTTCCATCCATCCATCCTTTCAGTATGTATTTACTGGGTAGCTCTATGGCTTTAAACACAACCCATAGCCTAACCGCTCAAATTCAAACTTTGCAGGACATCTGCCCCTTAAGAGCCCCTTTGCCCCCATCTCCGACCTTTCCCCTTCACACACTGTGTTCCAGATTCATGGACCCATTCTCCAGACACAGTTCTTCATCTAGTTCTGTGCTGCTCAGTACGACAGCCACTAGCTCCATGTGGATATTTAAATTTAAATTAATGAAAATGAAATAAATTCAGTTCTTCAACCACACCGGTTACATTTGACATGCTCAGCAGAGTCCCACGTGGCCAGAAGCTACCATATTGGACAGGGCAGACGTAAGACGTCATACACAGGAAATATTCTACTTGATGGCCCTCAGAATCTACAGGTTACATGTCTGTGTCCCTCTTGACTCTGAGAGCTCAGCTCAGCTCAGACAGAAGCCATCCCAGATTCCTGGCCCCCTGGTCTAATATTGGCCTCCCCAGCCCGCTAGTCACTCCCTGATATATCCCCCCCAGCTGATTTTCATCAGAGCCATGATCACTATTCATTTCATTTCTCTTTATATTTGTTTACAATTCATGTGGCTTTTTCCTTTTTTTAAAATCTCCCTAACTTGACTGTAAGCTCCATCAGCAACAGGCACCTTATCTGCTTTATCCAGAGCTATATCCCCAGGACCAAGCAGAGTGTCTGGCATTGGAGGAGACACAGCAGTTGACAACTAGAGAGAAAGCCCAATCCTAAAGGTACCATTTTCCTGCTGGGTGCTCCTGTACGAACCACCAGCCTTAGCTTCCTCAGCTGTAAAGTAGGAAAACATCTCTCAGAGTGCCTGGTTGGCACGGTTGGTTAAGTGTCTGCCTTCAGTTCAGGTCATGATCCCAGGGTCCTGGGATTGAGCCCCACATCTGTCTCCCTGCTCAGCGGGGAGCCTACTTCTCCCTTTCCCTCTGCTTGTGCTCTCTCTTAAATAAATAAATAAAATCTTAAAAAAAAAAAAAAAGGGAAAAGAAAACATCTCTCATTGGGCACAGTACCTGGCATAAAGCAAACACTCAGTAAGCAGGGACTGTTATTAATTATTAGCTACAACAGGAGGTCCCCAGCTCCCTGGCTAGCAGGTTCTCCTCTCTGGGCCAGCTGCCCAACCTGCATAAGGATTAGCTCAGTGGTTCTCACAACTGGGGACAAGAGTCATTGGTGGGCACAAGGTCATTTTAGGGGGTAGAGAGATGAGGCGTGAGTGACATCAAATTGCAGCCTTGGGAACAAGAGTCACTGTCCAGTTTTCCTCCAGTATGAGTCTGTTGAGAAAGTCTCATGAGGGGCTAGTCTGCTTTTACCACCTCTCTAATCCTTGCTAGCTCACTTTCTTTCTTTCTTTTTTTTTTTTTTTAAGATTTCATTCATTTATTTATTTGTTGGAGAGAGAGAGAGTATGTACCCAGGCAGGCAGAGTGGCAGGCAGAGGCAGAGAGAGACGCAGGCTCCCTGCCAAGCAAGGAGCCCGATGTGGAACTCGATCCCAGGACCCTGGGATCATGACTTGAGCTGAAGGCAGAGGCTTAACCAACTGAGCCACCCAGGTGTCCCCTGAACTCACTTTCTAAAACCAGGAAGCAGAAGCCTTTACCCAGCAACTTAAAATTTATTAAGTTGAACCATCTATAGTCACTGTTTTGGGGGAGGTCCCAAAGGGGGCACAACTGACAACTGGAAATGTCAGATGGTCCAACCCAAGAAAAATTGTTTTTGTTATGTTGTGCAGCATGCATGTTTTCCTCTTACCTTTTACTTATAGCAAAGGATCCTCTTCTCCACTTAGGATAATGATAAAATTTTTACTTACAGTATACTGTAAGTTATGTGGAGCACCTGGGTGGCTCAGTCGGTTAAGCATCTGTCTTCAGCTCAGGTCATGATCTCCAGGTCCTGGGACTGAACCCACATAGGGTTCTTTGCTCAGCAGGGAGTCTGCTTCTCTCCCTCTCTCTCTCTCTCTCTCTGCCCCTCCCTACTGCTCGTTCTTGCTCTCTCAAATAAATAAATAAAATCTTAAATATATTGTAAGTTTAAAAAAAAAAAGTTGATTCTAAACAGACCATTAGATCTAAAATAATGAAGATGGTTGCCAGAACCTGAAGTCTAGGATGCTGGAGAGGGCAAGCAATACGGAGCCAGTCCTGACTCAGGCGTCACCAGTGTCTTTGGGGCAGGACTTGCTGTCTCAGAGCCCCAGGTTTTTAGCTGAGAAACTGAAGTTAATTATAGTATTCCTACCTCATAAGGCTGTTGAGGGCTCCAGAAGATGCATGTGGAGCTCCTAGCCCAGGGCGTGGTACCCAGGAGGGGCTTGGGACACTGGGCATGAGTCCTGGGAGTGGTGCCAAAGGAGAGAAACCACCCCACCTTCAGGCCAAGGGTGGTGCCCCGTGCCCAGTGCCAGATGCCCGAGGACTCCTCCCTCCTTCAAGTCTCAGCTCAGGGGTCTAGTCCTTTGGGGTGGGGCCTTCCAGACCAGGAGCTTCCATTGTATCTTTAGGCTCCTGGCTTGGCTCCTTGAAGCCATCACCTCCTGTCACAGTTGTAACTAATTATTAACTAATTATTTGGGTAATTGTTTGAATAATGTGTGCATCCTTCCCCGCTAGGCTCTGGGTATTAAGAGCAGGAACTGTGTGTGCTTGTATAACACCCAGCACAGTGCCTAGTTCAACAGCTGTTGGTTAAGTGGCTGGTTGGTTGGTTGGACGGATGGACGGTTGATGATGCCTGACTGGGGTTTCCAGAGAATATGCCTGCAAAAAGGCGCTTAAACTGAGGAGAAATCTTTGGGACTGACTTAGGGTAGAATCAGGTATGGGATCACTCCGATGTTTAAAGGAAGGAAATCTGGAAGGTTCTGGAAGGGGCTGAAAATGAAAGAGTGAATACTTCTAATAAAGTAACAAGGCTAACTTGCCAGCCCCTTCTATCTGCTGTGCACTAGCTTATTTTCATATTCACAACAACCTTTTGTAGTGGGGACGTCTATGTTCTCATTTCACAGATGAACAAAACACAGAGAAGCTAACTTAACTTGCTCATTGCTTATTTGTACCTGAATCTCACTCTTCTCACGCTCTCAGGAAGGCCTTGAATGTGAGGGAGGCTGCTGAGGGACCAAGGGATGCGGGTGGGAGTGGGCTTCCCAGTGCAGAGGCGGGCAATCAGGAAAGGGGCTGGTAGGGAAGATCTAGGGGACTTAAACATAGAGCAGCCCCCCCCCCCCACCCCCGCAGAACTGGGACGACCCAGGAAGGAGCCGGGGACGGAGGGCTAGCCCCGTGGGAGAAACCAGGTCACGCAGGGACAAGCAGGAAGCTCTCGGGGGCTGTCCCCGCAGGACCCGGCCCCGAGTGGGCGGTGGGCGGAGCTCCGGGCTCCCACGCCCCCTCCTCCTGGCCTGACCCCTCCTACCATTGTTCCGGTGGCCACCCCGCCTCCACCCCCGCGCATTCTTACCGCCTGACAAGGCCACCGTCAGGAAGGCGATCACAGCGGCCAGGGGCCACATGGCAGCTCCGGGGTGGGGAGCAGGGCGGGCGGGGCCTGAGAAGTTGGGGGGGTGGTTAAGGGCTGGCTGAACCCCCATCTCTGACCGCCCCATCTCTGCTCCTGTAATCTCTCCTTCACTAAGAACCTTGGCCCTGGAATCTAAACCCCTTCCCTAATTTCCATCCTCCGTGGGGAGCCCCAGTAGGGAGGTAGGAGGGGCTGGCGCAGCGTGCGCCCGCGTTCACCCGTGCCCTCCAGCGAGCGGGTGCCTCTGTACCCTCTGCCGCAGCTCTCCGCCCCGTCTCTACCCTCTCAGGGTCGTCCCGCGCACCTGGCCTCAAACAGCTTATCTTTCAGCGCTGTTCACCCTCGCCAGCTCTGCAGATTTCTGTAACTGAACCTCTGGCTTCCCTCTCCATCTCTCTGACTCAGCTGTTCTCCTTCTCCTTTCCCTCCTCACCTCTCCTTCCTCTCCCCACGCCTCCCCTTTGACGCTCCCGCCCCTGCCCCAGGCGGACCCTACCTCGGTGAGAGGCCTGGGTGCGGAGCTTCGCCGCCAGCTGCCTCCAACTTCACCCGGACCCATGGCTTTTAACCCCTGAATTCCCTCCCCCAGCGCCCTCAGCATTTCCCTGTTGCTGGCCTCCCCCTCTCCACCCCCAATGGCTCAGCAGACAGCTGCCAGACACCCCCCAAGCCTGGGCTTGGCCCTTCCGCTTGGGGCGGAGCTTCCAGGACGAGCTGGGACCCAGATCCGGCCCCGCCCAGGCCCCAGTTGAACCCACTGTGAACTTTGGGGCAGTAGAACCCACCCAGAGGAAAGGGAAAAGTTATTTCCTTCTTCAAACCCACCCGAAATTCCCATGACTCTCCCTAACATCAACCTGGTATTTCATCCCACTTTCTGATCTCTCCAACCCCTGTGCGTGTCCTTATATCCATCAGCTCCCAGATGGCCATTTTGCACCCTAGTCCTATCTTCCTCGTTTTAACCATACTCCCTGCCGCCAGCCTGTTCCCCAAACTCAAGACCATCCATAGCCTTATCTCAAGTTTATCCAGACATCAAACCCAACACATCCAAATTGCAGTTCCCAGATTCATCTCCAGCACCAAAGCCATGTTGCAGCCCTTCTGAAAAACTCAGGGATGCCTCAATTTACTACCACTCTTCCCCTTCCCCTACCCCACCCCCACCCCCATTAGGGGCAAGAAGGGAATCTTTCAGATATGTGGCTAGAAAGTCAACTGTACTTGGACCTAGATGGGGCCTGGGGAAAGCAATATTTTGGGTGAATGGTCTTTTAGGAACAGGGCCAGTTGGGGTGAGGGAGTCCATGGGGACGTAGGTGGACAGGATGCAGGAATCGGCATGCTGTAGGGGTCAGGATGATGGGAAAGAGGAAGGAGGAAGAGGTGGCGCTTTGGGAATGAGAAGGTGCCTCCTGGAACTGTGACTGGGTGGGCCCATGAATTAATCCTAGGGGGTGGAGGGGGCAGGATTAAAGATTAAGGAGGGCAGAGGTGGGGTCAGAATTTGGAAGAAAGCCAGGGATGGGGATCAGATGAAGTTTGGAGAGAGAGCTGTGGTGTCCTAAGGATAAGGGATTAAGATGGGCAGAGAGAGGGTTCATATCAAAATTGGTGTAGTCCATACTAGAGGAGTTTAAGTTTGGATTTAGGGACCAAATCTAGTGTCAAAAGTAATTTTTTTTTTTTAAAGATAAACTTTTAAGGAGCATCTAACCATGATTCTCATATACATACATACATACATATATATATATATATATATATATATGATAAACATCAAATATTTTGATTTATTAATAAACAGTGGAGCTGGTAAGATATTACAAAGAACCACACAGGTAGAGGCAATAAGGAATGCTGAAATGAATTTATAAATAGATACAAAACTGGTTTATTCTACATTGGTGGGGGGAGGGAAATTGATTCTACTTCCACCTGCCAAAACTCATTTGCACAGTACGGACAAGAATGATTTGCATTGCTATCAGCTGTCTATGATTTATGGAGTTGTAAAGTAGCTCAAAGACAATAATAGAAGCAGAGACCCCGTAAAATCAGATAACCCATTTAATTTTCCATCAGAGACATCTGTTGGGTCCATCTCAAAGTCTTTCATGTTTTTCCCTACATTAGGAGCAAAAGTTTGTGGACAGGTTTAGGATGGGTCTGATGGTAGCATTTGGAATGCAAGTGAGCTTGGGGAGAAGAGACACAGGGAGAGGATGGGGTAAGGAGTTGGTTTTGAGGATAGGAGTTCTGGATGAGAAGGATCTGAGGATAAGAATGTTGATGGAGTCCTATTGGGTTGGGGTTAGAGATGGAGACAAGAATGAGGATTTGGAAGGGAAGTGTTGAAATATAACTGAGCTGGTGTAGGGGGGAGATGGTAATAATGAGGACTAGATGTGAGGTTGAGTGTCTGTGTTGGGATAGGGTTTTGGTGGGAGTGGGCTGGTTCATAGCTGTGAGTTCCTTTCAAGGTGACAGAAAGAGCATTGTCTTTCCCCACCTTGAAATTCCCCCCACCTCACAAGGTTGGCCCCAGAGTGGGCACTGAATTCACTCTTTTTGAGTAGTGTTGAGTTCAGGTTGGGTGGAGGGGAGATGCAGGAGGAGAGGATGTGGGTTAAGTGAGGTGACTGACAAGCTTGTGTGGGAAGTCAGGGTACTTATGCCCTCTTGTGGCCTGTGTCCACACTTCAGAAAAGCCTTTCGTGCTTGGGAAGGGCTGGAAACCTGGAGTGGGGGTGGCTGGCTTTGGCGTTTGCTTTGGGATGAGTATGAGGTCAGTGATGACATTAGGCCTGGACTTAGGTTGGCTGACTCACATTGAAGTGAAGTCATGGGTCCACCAAGAGTTGGCTGCATTCCAACCCCTCACTGGATCAGTAAGGCAGCTGGAGCCCACGGAGGGCAATGAGCTGCCAAAATCACACAACTAGACCAAATGCAGGTGTACTGGCTCATAGATCAGGGTCTTTCCCCCAACAGGGGGCAGAGCTGGAGAAAGGACTAGAAAAAGAGGCAGTGTCCCTAGTGGTTCAGAACTGAGACTGGAGCTAGACTGTTTAAGTGGCATGAATTAAACTGACATGGCCACTCTGTGCCTCAGTGTCCCTATTTGCAAAATGGCGCTATCAACAGCATAGGATCTCCATGCCTCATTGAGGAGCGTTAAATGAGTTAATATTTGAAGGTGCTTAGATGAGAGCCTGACACAGACCAAGGGCCACAAATGTGCTTGTTAAGTAAAGCTGGAAATGGAGGTAGCCTGAGGTTTCTGGAGGCCCCACCCTTGCTTGGCTTCAAAATGGGGTTCTTTGTCAAGCAAGGACTGGAAGTTCTGGTTGGAAGTGCTGGCTGGGATGAGAAAGTTGGTCCCACACCCAGGCTCAGAGGAGAGGCCCCGATGCAAACCTGAAGGGAGGGGGAGACAGAGAAAGACACTAAGGGATAAATACAGAGAGAAAGAAAGGGAGGGTGGGAGAGGGCAGAGGGAATGCAGAGGGAGAGAGAGGCATGAAGATGGAGAGATGGAGAAGCCTGGTGAGAAACTGGAGTTGCGCTCTTGGAGCGAAAGGTGCACACCGAGTGGAAACCCATGAATTCTTCTCTAGAGCTGGGTCCATGCTGGGAAGGATGTCACCCTAGTCACCATCTTTCCTGTGTAGCAACAGCAAACCACTTTTCACCCATCAGAATAGCAAAAACTAGAAAGGTCAGTCTTGCCATCTACCTGTGTCTGTGCCCACATCCTCTGCCTCCTCTCCTATAGACAGAACCCTCCACTTGTCCACTTGTGCCTGATCTCCCGTCCCTCTCACCTCCCTGGGAACACAGTTCCAGCCAGCTCTTCTGAGCTCCCTTGTCTGCATCCCTTTTGTTCTTCCCCAGCCAGCAGTCTCATTAACATAGGAACATGCTGCAATTGCTCCCATGTTTCATGAAAGGAATTAAGAACAAGAAAGGAAACCTCTCAGCCTTCAGGCTCTCCTTCAGCATTTTTTTTTTTTTTTGGCCCCATTTCCTTTTCCCCATGACTACAATTCTTCCCTAAAAAGTTGGCTACACTCACTGTCTGCAACTCCTGTCCTCCTGCTCTCTCTTGAGCCCACTCCATGCAGGCTTTCTCCCCCACGACTCCACCAGCCAGACCCATGTCAAGGGCACCAGTAACTTCGGTGTTGCTGAACCCATCTTACTTGAGTTATCAGCAGCGTTTGACAAGTGGATCACTCCCTGTTCCTTCAGAGAGCTTTTTCCTCGGCTTCTGGGACACTTCACCCTCCTCCTGGTCTTCCTCATAGCTCAGTGGCTGTTCCTCACCCGCGTCTGATGCTGCATTCTCCTGTCCTGTCTCTACATGGCGGAGTACTGCAGGGCTCGGTACTTGGTCCTCTCCTCTCCTCTGTCTACACTCACTCCCTCGGTGATCTCATCAGGCCTGGTGGTTTTAAATACCATCCACATGCTGACGACTCCCAAATTTAAGTCTCCAGCCAGACCTTGCTCCTGAACTCTCAATTTGACATACAACTGTCTGCTTCACATCTGCAGGTCCAAACCCAAGCAGGCTCCTCTAGCAGTCTTGATCTTCTCCATCGGTGGTCTCTCCATTGTTCCAGCCCTCAGGAGTGAAAACCTTCGTCTCTCCTTTGGATTCCTTCTCTCACACATCCATCTTATTATTGAACCCCGTCAGCTCTGCCTTCAAAATAGATCCCAAATCTAACCATTTCTCAACTTACCCTCCACCTTTGCCGCCTGGGCCCTCCCAGCCACCGTCATCTCCCACCTGGATTATTGCAAATTTCCTATCTGGGCTCCCTGTTTCTGGCCTGTCCACCTACACCCTATTTTTGACACAACAGCCAGAGTGACCTTTTAAGAGAATGTGTGTCAGGGCAGGTCAGTCCTCTTCTCAAAACCCTACCTCCCACATCACTCAGAGTGAATGTCCCATTTCCTAATGGTGGCTACAAGTCTCTAGACATCATCCACCGTCTTTTCCTGCCAGCCCTTCTCATGCCAGGCACCCTCTCAGAGCCTCGTCCAAGCCACATGTCTGCATAGTTTCTTCCCTTCTTGTCCTCCTCTCTCTGAAGATTTTCATGACCACTGTAGCTGGGAATTCCCAGGACAGGTTCAGCGGATCACTAGAAGGACTCACAGAACCCAGAGAAGCTGCTATACTGGTGGTTTCAGTTTATTACACGTACAAATATAGCATCAAAGAAGCAGAGGAAAATGGCGCACAGGGCAGAGTGTGGGAGAGCCCAGCCATGAGATTCGGAATAACTCTCTCCGTGGAGTTAGGCATGCAGTGCTTCTTCTCCCAGAAGCGATGTGTGGTAACTCATGCAGGGTACTGCCAACCCGAGAAGCTCCCTTGAGTCTTGGTGTTCCGGGTTTTCAACTGGGGGTCAGGCACATGGCTGTCCCCTTGCATGGCTGACCTTACTCTCTAGCGCCTCCAGAGGCCAAACAGAAACAACATGCCCCAAGGCTTCTACCATGTCATTTTTATTAGGAGAGACTATCAGGCATGAGGAAGGCGGGTCAACAAAGACACTGCTACAGGCAGAAGAACTGGAAAGGGCCAAATCTTTCTTTCTGTACAGATTTTGGACAACCCAGGCCTGCCGAGTTAACCCACAACCACCTACTTAAAATCCCTCCTCTGACATTCTCTATCCCCCTTATTCTGCTTGACTTTTATCCAAGGCACTCCCATCTGTAATACTTTGTGTTTTACTTATTCATTTATATATTTCCTGTGTGCCTCTCCTTTCAAAGTGAGTTTCCTTGGGGCAGAGGTGCTTATCTGTTTTGCTTATCTGTCATAAAATGCAATGACTCTTTGCTGGATGAATATTCAAAAAATATTGAACAAAGACAAATAGTCAATAAAATTCAATGTATATTCATGTATGTTACATGCAGATTTGACTTACATTTGCAGAATGAACTGAAAGCATTGCTGAGGGTGTGGGCAGACAGGAATCCTTCTAATCTAGACAAAAACCTGCCAGTTCTTGGTGCAATTAATCAAGAGTGGGTCTTCTGGTCCAATGATCCCACTTCTGTGTATATTCCAGAGAAGTCTTCTATAGGCACATAAGGGGCAAATCCCCAAATAGTCATTGCACTATGGCTTGGTTAGTGGAGGGAACCCAAGTGTCCATCCTTAAAGAACTGGGTAGTTAAATGTGGTGGACGTCTACAGTAAGTTGGTCCTTCTCAAACTTTTAATATGCTTTGTGTCCCTGAGGATCCTATTAAAATGCAGGCTCTGGTTCATGTGGACTGGGTTGGGGCCCAAGACTCTGACCTCTACAAGCTCCAGGTAATTCCGGTGCTGCTGTTCCCTAGACCCCACTTTGAGAAGCAAGGGTATAGACTAGAGTAGTGCTCACCAATGGAAGTTTGTGTGATGGTGGAAATGCCCCATTTATTGGTACTGTCCAAAATGGCAGCCACTAGCCATATACAGTTACTGAGCACTGGGAATGTGGCAAGAACAGCTAAGGAATGGAATCTTAACATATATTAAATTTAGCCAATTTTAATTTAAAAATTAAAGGAGCATGTGTGGCTAGTGGCTACCATATTGGGCAGTGCAGATGGAGAACACTCTAGCAATGAAAAGCAATAAGTTAAATGAGCAAATGGCAACATGGAGAGGTTGTTAACACAGTGTTTGGTGGAATAAGATCTTATATTTTATACCTCAACCTTGGGGCACCTGGCTGGCTCAGTCAGTAGAGCATGTGACTCTTGATCTCAAGGTTGTGAGTTCGAGCCCCATGTTGGGCATAGAGACAACTGAAAAAGAAATACCTCAGCCTGACTCCTCACTGACACCTATACTGGTGTCCATGTATCCCATATCATCAAACTTAAGACGTTGGTGATTGTATTTGCACTATTATTTTGCATACCTCTGAGATAGAGAAAGAAGCTGTCAATTAAATTATGATATAAAGCTAAGATAGTAAGATGCCTCCTGATTTCAGAATTGTGAAAAATGTGAAGCAGTGTGCATATGAGAAGCAATAAAGTGTGGTACTCAACCATCACATTGTGGGGTACAGTTGGGAAATCAGGTTAAAGTAATCTTTGATGGAAACTGTTCTTATTTAGCTTTTTGGATGTAGGCTAAGAATCACAGCATGGGCTGCGTCTTCACCTCACTAGGGCCCCAAATCTATCCCAGGACACAGCCGCTCTCGTCCCATTTCCTCCACAGAGCTTGTATGGCTGCTACATATGAGAGCCAAGGTGTGTCTGCATCCCTGGGACAGAAGGTGCAGCCTCCATGTCCCAACAATTGTTGGAGCTGCTGTAACCACGTGGGTCTCAGATCCACCACCTGAGAACTCTTAGGTCCTGTGCTGCCCCCCCCCCCCCCCAACAAGAGAACAAGTGAACACTGGTGAGACCACACTGGCTTCTACTCCAGCTGAGCTCTGCAGTATCCCAGTGCAGAACCACGAGGAAACATAGCATCATTGGGTCATTCCTAGGCAGACCTGTCCTGTGCTGTGCTGGTAAGGATTTAACCAAAAAAGTTTTTACCGGGGGAAGCCGGGGGGTGGGGGGAGGAAGGGAGGCGCCCCGCTCCGCCGATCGCTGGGTCCTGCAAACGCGCGCCGGGCGCTTTCCCCGGAGCTCGGCGGTGCGTGCGAGCGCCCTTCTGCAGCAGCCACGGCGGCGGCGGCGGCCCGAGGGGGCGGAGAGGAGGGGGCCGCGGCCCGGCGGCCGGGCGGCCGGGGGGCGGCGTCCCCCCTCAAAACCGCCTGCAAAGAGCTCGGGGCTGCAGAAGCAGGCCGCCGGCTCCGCGGAGCAAGCCGCTTGTCCCGGGGCTGAACGAGCGCGCCGGGCTGCCAGGCAGCGCCGCGGTTGCTAGTGGGCGCCGGTGCCCTCGGCGCTGGGCTCGGGCTCACCATGCCCCTGAGGGGCCGGGCTGCCGGGCACAAGCGGATCCCCGGCTTGCCCCCGCCTCGACGCGCTCGGATTAGCTGTAGCCGGCACCCAAGGATTTGAATCCGGACTCCGGCAGGGAGCGCGCCTAGGCCGACCTCCGAGTGGCGGCCCCGCGGCCAACATGCTTCGAAAAGGGTGCTGTGTGGAACTCTTGCTGCTGCTGCTGGCTGGGGAGCTGCCCCTGGGCGGCGGCTGCCCGCGAGACTGCGTGTGCTACCCGGCACCCATGACGGTCCGGTCAGCTGCCAGGCGCACAACTTCGCCGCCATCCCCGAGGGCATCCCAGAGGACAGCGAACGCATCTTCCTGCGGAACAACCGCATCACCGTCCTCCAGCAGGGCCACTTCAGCCCGGCTATGGTCACCCTGTGGATCTACTCCAACAGCATCACCTTCATTGACCCCAACACCTTCGAGGGCTTCGTGCACCTGGAGGAGCTGGACCTTGGCGACAACCGGCAGCTGCGGACGCTGGCGCCGGAGACCTTCCAGGGCCTGGTGAAGCTGCAGGCCCTCTGCCTCTCCAAGTGCGGGCTCAGCGCCCTGCCCGCAGGCATCTTCGGCGGCTGCACAGCCTGCAGTACCTCCACCGGCAGGACAATCACATCGAGTACCTCCAGGACGACATCTTCGTGGACCTGGTCAACCTCAGCCACCTGTTCCTCCATGGCAACAAGCTGTGGAGCCTGGGCCGGGACATGTCCCGGGGACTCGTGAACTTGGACCGGCTGCTGCTGCACGAGAACCAGCTGCAGTGGGTCCGCCACAAGGCTTTCCACGACCTCCGCCGGCTGACCACCCTCTTTCTCTTCAACAACAGCCTGTCGGAGCTGCAGGGCGACTGCCTGGCGCCCTTGGGAGCCCTGGAGTTCCTCCGCCTCAACGGGAATGCCTGGGACTGCGGCCGCCGGGCGCTCTCGCTGTGGGAACGGCTGCGGAGGTTCCGCGGCTCCAGCTCTGCGGTCCCCGCTCTGCGGTCCCCTGCGCCTCCCCCGAGGCGCGCCAAGGCCAGGACCTGAAGCTGCTGAGGGCCGAGGACTTCCGGAACTGCACGGGGCCAGCCTCGCCGCACCAGATCAAGTCGCACACGCTCACCACCACCGACAGGGCCGCTCGCAAGGAGCACTACCCGCCCCGCGGCCCCGCCAGGGACAAGGGCCACCCTCATGGCCACCTGCCCGGCTCCCGCCCAGGCTACAGGAAGCCCGGCAAGAACTGCACCAGCCACAGGAATCGCAACCAGGTGTCCAAGGCGGGTGCCGGGAAGCAGGCCCACGAGCTGCAGGACTACTCCCCTGACTACCAGCACAAGTTCAGCTTTGACATCCTGCCCACCACCCGGCCCAAGAGGAAGGGCAAGTGTGCCCGCAGGACCCCCATCCGTGCCCCCAGCGGGGTGCAGCAGGCCTCTTCGGGCAGTTCCCTGGGAGCCTCCCTCCTGGCCTGGATACTGGGGCTGGTGGTCACTCTTCGCTGAGGACCTGGGCCACCAGCACCCAGTACTGCCACACGTCCACCAAGGAACAGAATCTCTTTTCTTTTTTTGAACAAGTGGAGGGTCTGCTGGGTTTCGGGCAAAGGCTGGTAAAGGCTTCAGCTGCTGTCTGGGCCCTGCCCCCGTGGATTATAAAACCCAAAGTGTACAGTCCCAAAGTGGGAAGGGATTTGAGCATCACACCCAGCTGTCCCGGCCAGGCCCTGGTGAGCGCCCGCAGACAGCATCCATCCGGCAAGGCAGTTAAAGCACGCAAAATGAATCCTTCATTAGCAACAATGGCCCCCCGCCCACCCAGGAGCTGGGCTCTGTGGAATCCCAGTCACTGGAGAGGTCTGAAGGGCCCCGCCATTCCTGGAGGAAGCAGGACTCAGAGGAGAACAGACGAGGCTCACCCAAGCGGCTGGGTGGCCCAGCCATTTGGGAGCACAGGAGCAGGTGACATTTTGGCCCTTGCCTGAGGCCACAGAGTCAACCTGCCCTCATTCCAGCCCTTAGTCTCTCCCCCAGGGGGGAACGCCTCTCATTCCTGATGTCTCAGGCAACCCTGGCAGACCCAGGCCCAGCTGCTGGGCTCCAAGAACCAATTACCAAAGGAAAGATCATCAGAGGCTGAAATTCAGAACTGCATCGAAAGCAGTGAGGCTCTCACAGGAGGTGCAGTTATAACTTGACTTAGAACTAAACTTGACTTAGAACTTGACTTATAACTAAGTCAACTTATATATATATACATGTATATATATATACACACTGTCCACACACATGCACAGGGCCCCTCCCCACTCCCCTACCAAACTGTATGTCTTCTCATGTTTATAAACTATACAGAAAACTAAAAAAAAAAAAAAAAAAAAAAAAGTTTTTACCATTTTCTGTGGTGTAAATACTCCTCCTTGGGCTGATATCAACCTACCAGTGCAATGTCACTGGGCACAGAATTGGAAAGAGATGTGAAGAGCTCACTGTTACTGATGTAATACAATAGATAAACCTAACTCCAAAGAATAAATATTAGTGAAAATAATTGGGAATTGATGAATGTTGAGTATTTATGGGCCTTCTTTTTAATATTCATATTTAACTGTAAGTTCATGTAATTTAATTTTTAATAATGGTTGTGTTTACCACCTGGCTCTCAAAATTCCTAAAGATTGGCCAATTGGCTCTTATGGGGGCTGGTAGGGCTGGTATGAGCTGGTTCCGGCACTCTCTTCTTTACTTTACTTTTATTTTATTTTTTAAAGGTTTTCTTTTTTTAAGTAATCTCTACACCCAGCATGGGGGCTTGAACCTACAATCCCCAGATCAAGAGTTGTATGCTCCATAGACTGAGCCAGCCAGGTGCCCTTGTACTTTACTCTTAAATTATGTTTGTTGTTTCTTGTCTGTCACCTCCTGCTGGAGTCTAAGCTCAGTGAGGGGAAGCATTTAGATTCATCTGGCTTGTTCAGAGCTCAACTTCCAGAACTTAGAACAATGGCTGGTGTACTGTAGGGACCCAAAAAATTGTCTTTGGTGAATTTAAGAAAGAGAATGAGATTCCTAACGCAATGGCTTCATGTAAATTAGAAGCAATAGCTTGTGATGAGGCATGTTTTGCAATGATGCACGGTATTCAGGGCCATTTGTGTTGGTGCCTGTGGGGAGGGAGGATACTGGAGTCAGGGATGACAGATGGAATAAAGAAATAAAATGAGAGCAGGTCTCTGCCAGGACTTGAACTCCAGAGGGTGATTAACTCAACTCTCTTCACCTGAGATCAGATTAGGAAAAAGAGGACCTTTTTATATGCATAGGGTTTTCCAAGAAACAGAGTGAGTCTTTGCCCTCCCTACCATGGACCTCAGCAGTGTCTGCTCACAGGACCCAGAGCTGAGGCTCAGGGAGGGCAGTCTTGCTTAGGGTCAGGCTGCAAGACTGGGTGTTTCCTTCTTCCACACCAGACACTGTGGCTGGGGAGTGCCCCCAGAGAGCAACACGCACCCCACTCAGCCTTTGTCAGGAACACAGTTCCTGGCTGGGCACCATGAAGCTACTGTAGGCATATCCATAGGATGAAGTAAATGAACCAATGAATGGAATTTAGGATTCTTCAATTTTTATTATTAGTTATTTGGTTTTTATTTTAATTTAATTTATTTATTTCTTTTTAAAGACTATATTTATCTATTGACAGAGAGAGAGTGAGAGAGAGAGGGCAAGCAGGGGGAGCGGCGGAGGGAGGGAGAAGTAGACTTCCAGCTGAGCAGCGAGCCTGATGTGGGGCCCTGTCCCAGGACCCTGGGATCACGACCTGAGCCGAAGGCAGATGCCTCACCAACTGAGCAACCCAGGCGCCCCTGTTTATCTGGTTTTTAGAGACACTAAGAATTTTTAAATATGTCTTTGGGGTATGGTGCAAGTTTTGTGCTTTCATGTTCCTATATCTGTACCTAAGGGTCCTTGAATAATGATATTGTAGGGGTGTGGAGAGAAATCATGAAGGAACTTCTCTGGAAAGGAGAGTTCTGGGTCAGGAGTCCAGATCAAGAGGCTGGGGGCCAGGACTCCTGGGTCTGAGGGAGGAGGGGACTGGGGGCCTGGACTCCCAGGTCTGAAGGAGGAGAGGGCTGGGGGTCAGGACTCTTGGGTCTGAGGGAGGAGGGGTGGGGGCCTGGACCCTGGGTCTGAGGGAGGAGGGGGATGAGGGCTGGGACCCCTGGGTCTGAGGGAGGAGGGGACTGGGGGCTGGGACTCTGGGTCTGAGGGAGGAGGGGCTAGGGGCTGGGACCCCGGGGTCTTGGTGTGGAGAGAGCAATATCTGGGGAAGCAGATGGGCTGGTGTTCAGTTACACCAGCATTCATTTGCTCCGTATGGTTTTCCGGATCCAAGTTTGGTACTTGCACAGGTTGGTATAGACTCCAGGATAGCCAGGAAGGGCGCAACGTTCCATCCCCCAGGACACAAGGCCCTGGAGCTGTCCTTTGCACACCAGGGGTCCCCCCGAGTCACCCTAAAGGGGAGAGGCCGAAATGGAGAGACCCATGGACAGATGGTCAGAGGCATGGGTGTGGAAAACCCAAGAGGCAAAGGTGAGGAAGGAGGTGGGCTGAGAGCCCTGGCAGGGCTCTGGAGATATCAGCCGGAAGAGTTGGGGTCACTGCCTTCCCTCTTCTCTGGTTCCTGCTATCTCTGCCTCTTGGGGCTCACTACACTGCTCTAGAAAACTGTGTATGCTTCTTTATCTCCCCATCTCTGGAGTCACCTCTCAGGGATGGGCTAAGGTCTCTAGAGTCCCTGAGCACAGATTTCCCAGTGCCCATATGTAATAACAACAATGAGAGCACCACTGCTTTCCATGCACTACCACCTCATTCCACCACCTCCCCTAGGTGCTACCCCCACCTGACAGATTAGTAAACTCAGGCACAGGGGGATTAGGTCTGTTATCCAAGGGTGTACAACTAGCAGGCAGCCCAGCTGTTACAACCTCTCTCAGTCTATGGGAGGCCTCTGCTGATTTTCATGTTCCTGAGATCCTTTGAAACCCAAGTCCCAGCCCCAAACAATCCCCCTCTCCCAGCTCTCCTCCTGGGCCTCACCTGACAAGAGTCCTTCCCACCTTGGGGGACACCTGCACAGACCATGCCAGCAGTGATGGCTTGGGAATAAGCCCGCCGACACTCCTGATCCGAGGAGATGTTGATGTTCACACACTGGAGGGAGTTGGGGTAACTGACTGGGGGGCACAGAAGGGTTACAAGTGAGGGTTCTACCTTCCAGCAGGACCAGGAGTCTGGGGACTGACCTCCTCCTCCCTCAGACCAAGGAGTCCAGGCCCCCCAGCCCTTCCTTCCCAGGATGTGGGAGTACTCACCAATGGGGCTAGATGTGGTGCCCCAGCCCGACACATGGCAGGGGGTTCCTGGGCTCGCGCAGGAGCTGGCTATGGTGATGGGCCTCACTGCCCTCCCCAGCCGAACGGGCCGCTCCAGCTGCAGCAGCATCAGGTCGTTATTGTGAGTCCGGGAGTTGTATTGGGGGTGTGGCACCTGACGAACCACACGTAGCACCTGCTGGGTGGCCTCCCAGTTCTTCAGGTTATGCTTGCCCAGGGCTATGTGAAGTATCCTGGCCCATAAACCCCAAAAGTTGCAGTGCTCAGGATCTGACCTGGAGACCCCTCCCCACTCTCTGGCCCCATTCTCTTCCCTGGTGATGAATTTTCCACAAGTCTGAACTGCTTATGGAGCATTTGATGGACTCCTGTGCTCTTCTTTCCCACAACCTGGGCATTCTCTCTTGGGCCAATCCTACCATCCACCCCTTCCTCTTTTGAGCCATGCTCTGCTTTCTGGCTTGGGTGTAAGGTGATAATTGCGAGTTCTTGGCTCAGTGTTGGGTTCTAGGCTCTGAATTCCAAGTGAGAGTCTGGGCTTTGGCTCTAGGCTCTAAATCAGGATTGATATCCTGGACTAGGCTCCAGGGAGGCTCCATCCTGGTCCCAGCCTGGCCCCTGGGTTCTAGATATTTTGAACATTTGAGTCTAAGCTAGGATCTGGGCTTTCTAGATTGCTTATGGATCATGGCATACTTTCTAGATATGGGTGTGAGCTTCTGGTGTTAAGATAGGCTGTGGGTTCTATTTTGAGCTCTGCATTATGGTTTGAGTCTGGGTTCTAGAATGTTGATTTGAGCTCTTAGTCTTAGGGTAGTCTCAATTCTAGATTGAGCAATGGATTCTGGACATGGATACAAGCTTCAGTTTCTAAGTTGCTAGGTTGAGTTCTGGGTTCCTGCTTAAGTTTTGGTTTATGACCTGGGTTTTAGACAATGGCTTGAGCTCTGTGTTTGAGCTTAGGGTCCTAAACATCAGTCTGAGTTCTTGATTCTTGGCTAGGCTTTGTTTCAAATGGAATTACAGTTATGGTCTGGGCTCTTGCTTCTAGACTCTGGTCTGAGCCCTTGACCTCAGGTTGAGCTCTGGCTTCTAGATGGAGCTCCAGAAACTTCGAATCCAAGTTTCTAGATGTTGCCTTACATTCTCAGCTTTGCCTTCTAGACTCTGCACTAGGTTTTGGGCTCTGGGTTCTACATCAAACTTTAGTTTATAGCATTAGATCTGGTTTATAGGCACTGGGCAGGCTCTGTTCTTGGATCTGGGTTCTATGTTTAGGTCTAGACTCTTGGAGGGGCTCTGAGTTCTGTTTGGGGCTTCAGATTATGGTCTGCAGTTGGATACTAGCTTGGAGTTTGGGTTCCAGCTGCTAAAAAAGAAGCTGTAGACTAGATTCTGAATTAAACATTGCCTCTAGAATAGGTTCTGGGTCTGTCTGTTCTACATTCTGAGCTGATGTTCTAGCTGTAAACAGGGTTCTGGATTTATGGCTGGACTGCAGGTCTGGACTAGACTTTGAACTCTAAGTTTTGAGAGGTGTCCTGAGTTACTGAATGTAGACCTTGCCCTAGACTGAACCACCAATCTGGAATGGGCTCCTAATCTTAGTCTCTACTTAGAGCTTGGCCTCTAGATAGATCTCCAGATTATATTAGGTTCTACTTTTTGTGTGGGACTCTACACTGGCCTATGGGTTCTAAACTGTCAATCTGCTTTCAGAATCTAAACCGAGGGGCACCTGGGTGTCTCATTCAGTTGAGCATCAGACTCGTGGTTTGGCTGGGATTGTGACCTCAGGATGGTGGGATTGAGTTCCGCCTTCAGCCCTGCTCTCAGTTTAGAGTCTGCTGGAGATTCTATCTCTCCCTCTGCCTTTCCCCCTGCTCGCTCTCTCTCTCTCTCTCTCTAAATAAACAAATAAAATCTTAAAAAAAAAAAAAAGAATCTAAACCGAGTTCAAGATTTATGGCTGGATTCCATATTCTGAGCTGTGTTGGTAATTCTAGGCTCTTATCCAGACCCCAAACCAGGCCCCAGCTACTACATTAGGTGCAACACAATGCTTGGGTTTCTTAGCTGAGCTCTGGGGCTCTAGACTCTGGAATTCACTTGGCACAAGAGTTGGGGAGAGGATTACTCACGGGCGTGCACAGTGAGCAGCAGTGATGGCCCACTCGCCTGACAGCAGGGCCCCTCCACAGAGGAAACGACGAAAGGGACCTGCGAGTAGGGCTGCCTGCCATGGCTGGGAGTTCTGGACGCATGTGTAACCACCAATTATCTTGTTCTCATCCCTTTGGCTCTGTGCCATGGCTAGGAACAGGCAGGGGTGGGGTGGGGAAAGCAGATGAACAAATGCTCTTCACTTCCCAACTCTCTAGGATGTCTGGGACCCACAAATCCCTTTTTATAACCTCCCCCTAAACCACCCATCTCTATCTGCCCATGCAGTATGAGATCTGTGAGATACACCAAATTTTGGCCGTTATCGGCCAACACCTCCCCCCTTCACCTCCATAGTACAGCACTTGATCCCATGGCCACCTCATCCAGGGCTCTTACATATCTACTACCTTTGATTTTATTCTCCCATGAGTAGTTTATATCATCACTTCTCATAACGTGTCACAATTCCCCCCATTAACCTTTCTTGAACACACTCAAGGAGCTCCCTGTCCTTTTTCCAGCCTTCACACTCATATGGCACCCCCAGGACCCACCGTCTTCCCACTGTCTTGCCCCACAGCCACTCCATCTGCCGATCCTCACCCTTCCCTGTGAGCCCACCCTCCAACCCCCTATCATCACCCTTACCCTGCCAACAACATGCCATCTTTCCGTTAGTTTTGCAGCCTCCTTTTATATTTATTTATTGCAGCCTCCTTTTAAATAAAACCCAGACAGGACTGGATAGTTCTCCACAAGTCCTCATTTATTTCTTCCCATCTCCTTCAACTCCGGTACCCTCATATCTCCTGATATCTCCACAACTCAGAACCCAGGCCCCCTCCTAAGGGCTCCTCATTCAAGACCCCCAAAACCACACCCATACCTTCTCACCAGGTCACCCCTGAGTACAATGGGTCCTTGGGAACCCTCCCCATCTCTTCTCAGCATCTCCAGGGGACTGTCCTTACCTCAGACCCCACTGCTGTCTTACCTAGAGCCACGATCTGGAATGCTGTCAGCAGGAAGAACATTCTGGGGGCTGGGGGTTGGGTTCTGGCAAATGCAGAGAGAAAGTGAGAGAGAAGCAGGCTGCAAGAAACCCAGAGTTTGAGGGACAGAGAGGACCTTACACAGAGACCAAGACCTTTGGAGACATGGATGTACCTCTGTGTGTGGAGGACGTGGTAGTGGTGTCTTGCTTCCCTGTCACTCCGTGGAGGCCTTTTATCCTGGTCTGGGCAACTGGCCCTGCCTCCTGCCCTTCTCCTGACATTTTTTTTTATAGCCCGGTTCCTATTCCAGGGCTCCCTGTCCTATCTCCTCCCTCCCCTCTCTGACCAGAGAAGCAGCCACAACATTAATGAGAACCCGCCCAGTGATGGTGTTTAATCTGGGAGGAACCTCGGGAGGGGGGACCTCAGGGCAAGATGGACAGGATGGGGGTCTCACGGGAAGGTGCTGGGAGGGGTGGGGGACAGAGACACAGAGAAGTCTGGGAAATGAAAGAGAAGTCACATATGACCCAGAGATAGGGTCAGAGAAACACAGGCCAGAGAGAGAAGAGTCAGAGGGAGAGAGACTAGGGAAAGATGGGGAAGGGGAAGGAAGAAGAATATAGACATAGGGACAGAGGAGGCAGATTCGGGGAAAGACAAGGGAACAGGGGAAGCCCAGAAACAGAGATTCACGGAGAGGGCAGAGTGGGAAAGCAGAGGGTGGTGGTGGGGGGAACAGAGGGTAGAGGCTGGCAGGTGGGGGGTGGGAGGCACAGGTTGCGGAGAGGATGACAGGGATGGTGCAGACAAGTGCTGATACACTGGAAAGGAGGAGGAAGAAGATGAAGGACAAGGCAGAGGAGGGGGAGACAGGGAATGAAAGGTAACACAGGTGATGGGGACCCAGACAGAGGAGACAGGCAGACATGGACAGTTGCCATGAGGAGGGAAGGAGGGAGGGGTGGGGCTGGGAACTGGCAGGAGACAGGACGGGCGGGAGGCACCTGGGACTGCCTCGTTTTCCTAGGCTTTTGTGGTTCTCACAGTCTTGGGAGTTTGGGGAACAGGGGCCCCAGCAGGGAAGAGGGGGGGTCAGTACAGAACTGGGGTCCTCCAGCTGAGACCCTGCAGAGGGGCAGGGGCAGATGGGGGACAGAGACAGAGATGGAGACCCAGAGAGAGGGAGAGAGACAGTGGTGAGGTGGGAAGGGGCTCCAGGTGGCCAAGGAGGGGCTCTGGGTTCGAGGGACCCCTCCTAGCTTGGGGCAAGGCCCACTCCCCTCAGCACCTCCCCAGCCTCTTAAATTCCTTAATGACTGCAGTTTGTCCCTGGGCCTGAGCAGGGCACGGTGACTCAGGAGGCAACCTCTGCACTCTCCCTCTCCTGACACCCCAGCACCGCCCCCCCATCCCCCACCAGACTGGCTCCCAAACCACTTTCCTCCCTCTCTGCCTGGTCTGCTGCTTAGCCCCTGTCTCTGTCCCTGGGGACTCACTCCGGGCATTTGAACCCACACGCCCACCTCCCTGTGTGCACTTCTGTTTCCTGTGATCTGGTTCTGAGGAGCTGAAGGTGTCAGCTCTGGCTCTGGCAAACCAGGAGGGTGGGATGCTGAACAGAAGGGAAGACGCCCCTAGGGCACAGGGGGCCTGGGGGGGGGCTGTCCGCACCTGGGGACCCTCATGGTGACACGGATGTACGCATGACATAACCTTCCATGGAAACACCATGCAGGGGCACCTGGGCGGCTGGGTTAAGCTGCCTTAGGCTCAGGGCTCAGATCATGACCCCAGGACCGCAGGGAGCCTGCTTCTCCCTCTCCCTCTGCCTGCCACTCGCCCTGCTTGTGCTCTCTCTCTCTCCGTCAAATAAATAAATAAAAATCCTAAAAAAAAAAAAAAAAGAAAGAAACACCTATGCGCACATGCACACAGGCAAACTTATACACAGAGACCTGGAACTAGACCTTAAGAGTCTGGCTACTGGCCCTCGGGGATTTCCTGGGACTGATACAGCCTGCAGGAATTTATCTATGACAACATCGCCACCGGGGGAAGCTGAGAGAAGGAGTCCATGGGACTCTATCATTTGAACAACTTCTTACAGTCCGTAGGTATTTCCTTTTATTTTTCTCTCCATAATTTATTTCAAAATAAACAGCAACAAAACAGAATTTCTGGGTAAAGGCGAGCTCACCCCCTCCATCTGAGCATAAACCTTGATTTGATGGACTCAGGGGGCCCCTCTGCTGAGTTGAGAGGCTCTGGTAAGCATGAGGTCTCCCTCTGCCTAAAAAGAAGGCTCTGAGGGGCGCCTGGGTGGCTCAGTCAGCTGCGCATCTGTCTTCGGCTCAGGTGATCCTGAGGGTCCTGGGATGGAGCCCTGAGTTGGGCTCCGTTCTCAGTGTGGTCTGCGGTTTGCAAACCCTCTCCTGTTTGTGCTCTCCATCTGCTGACACCCCAGGTGTCTCCTGACACTCCCTTTGCCCCTCTGCCTGTTCATGATCTCTCTCTCTCTCTCTCAAATAATAAATAAAATCTTTTTAAAAAATTAAGTAAAATAAAAAGAAGGCTCTGCTTAAGCAGAAGCCTTCAGTGAACCCAAGAGAGCCCTAGCGAAAGGCTGGCCCATGCACCCCAAGTATGCTCCCCTCCTTCTCACTCCCCAGCCCAGCTCCCGTCCTTGCGTGCTCCACCAGGTTACTCAGCACCCTCCTGCCAGAATCCAAAACCTGGGCCGCCTGCTCACCACTCCACCCACCACCTTAGCAGCGCTGTTGGCCCTGACATGGGTGTGCAAAAGATACTCAGTGAGTGAATGAACGAATGAACAAACAGATGGCCAGAGTCCTTGCCTTCAAGTTGCTTATGGTCTGGTGGAAAAGGCCAATGGGGCAATAGGAAACTTGGTCCAGGGTGATGTGCCCCTGAAAAGGAATATGGAAGGGCCTGATGAAACCCCAGGGGTGGGGAAGTGTTCCCGAAGGGCGGCTGTCTCAGCTGGGGCCTGTGGTGGATGAGTAGGAGTTCGCCAGGGGGATGGAGGGAGTGTAGGGTGGTGGGGGGGCAGGGGGAGAGGGGAGGGGCTTGAGTAGAGACCTCCAGGCAGGAGGATGGTGACAGAGCTCAGAGGGCTGGAGGGAAAAGTGGCCTGGAGAAGCAGAAGCTCAAGGGCGATTCTGAGCAGGGGAGAGAAGAGCCCTTAGGATCCTTGGTGGAGATCTATCTCTGGAGCTTAGGAGGGCTGTTTGGTTAGAGACAGCGGTGGGGCGTTATTAGCTCAAGTGGCATGGAAGCCAGAGTGCCTGCAGCCCACGTAGGGAGACTATATCTAGTGAGAGGACCAGGGACATCTGCCCAGGACCCTAAGGAAGACCCCGGTTTAGGAGGCAGGGTGCTGAGAAGGAGCAAGGGGAGAGCTAGAAAGAAGGCCAGTAAAGGGTGGTGTTGGGAAAGTTGAGATAATTTTCCAGGAAGGAAGAGACATGGGAGTGGGACCCAGCTGGGCAGCGGGGAGACTGGAAGGTTTTCATGGCTGGTGGGACTGGAAGGGGGGATGGGGGGTTGGGGGGTTGGGGGGTGGGGAGGAGGTGGTGAGTGAAGACAGCCCTTAGATGGGGCAGGGGCAAGAGGTGTGTGACCATCCCAGGTTGGTGAGGAGAGGGGAAGGAAGCTCCCATTTACTGAGGGCTTGGCACAGCCAAGCGCTGTGCTATGTTCTTTTGTTTTTGTCCTTTAATGCTCAAAGCTTTTAAAAAATTGATTTGAGGGATGCCTGACTAGCTCAGTTGGTGGAGTATGCGACTCTTGATCTCTGGGTAGTGAGTTTTGAGCCCCATGTTGGGTGTAGAAATTAATTAAAAATACAATCTTTAAAAATAAAAAATATTGAGGGCTGCCTGGGTGGCTCAGTCAGTTAAGCAGCTGGCTCTTGATTTCAGCTCAGGTCATGATCTCAGGGTCCTGGGATGAGCCCCACGACCCGGCTCTGTGCTCAGCAGGGAGTCTGCTTGAGGATTCTGTCTCTCCCTCTCCCTCTGCGCCTCCCCCTGCTCTCTCTCTCTCTCTCAAATAAATACACTTTTAAAAGAAATACAAAAAAATTTTTAAAATTTGATTTCCTTTTTTATTGTGGTAAAATATACAGAACATAAAATTCATCACTTAAATCATTTCTAAGTGGACAGTTCCGTGGCCTGAGGCTGCCATCCATCTCCGAAAGCTTCTGTCTTCCCCAGCCAGGGCTCTGTCCCTGTTCAGCACTTCCTTCCCATCCCCTCACCCCAGCCCTAACCCCTCACCCAGCCCTGCCCCGCCCCCAACCTCCATCTGCTTTCACAAGGGGAATCACTTTGTGACTGGTTTATTCCCCTGAGCACAACGTCCTCAAAGTTCATGTTGTAGCATGTATCAGAATTTCCTTCTTTTCTAAGATGGAATCATCTTTCATTGTACATTTTATTTTACCAAGGATGTTCTCGTGGGGGTTCACTTCTTTCCTTCTTCCTTCCTCCCTGTCTCCCTCTCCCTCCTGCCTTCCTTCACTCTCCTTCCTTCCATTCAACAACACAGAGTACCCACTGTGCAGGAGTCATGGTTCCGAGCCCTGAGGATATAACCATGAACCAGACAGAAATCCCTGCCCTGCTGAAGCTTACATCCTAGAAGAGGGGGCAACCAAGAGAAAGTTAAATAAGTACAACACACAATATTTCAATTTATCAGTGCTATGAAAAATAGTAAGAAAGTAGGGAGTGGAGTAGGGTCAAGGAAGGCCCAACTGAGATGACCTTCGGGCAAAGTTGAAAAGTAGTTGGGGATCTCTGGGGGAAAACTATTCCAGACAGAAGGAGCAACAATGCAAAGGCCCTGAGGTGTGTCTGGGGACCAGTGAGGAGGCCAGCATGGCTGGAGCAGAGTGAGTCATGGAAATTGTGGACCCTATGGGATAGGTACTATCTTGTCCCCATTTTACAGATGGAGAAACTGAGGCTGAGGGGAGGTGGCTGGTCCAAGGTCAGCCAGCTGGTCAGTGCAAGAGGAAGTATACAAACTCCAAGACTATAGGAATCTCCAATCCACTACCAGAATCTTCTATTGTCTTCCAAGGCGATTTGAGGGTCAATTCCATTTATTTGGATGTCCAATACGGTTTTAGCACATTTTTCATAAATTAACTCACC